CAATTCGTTTTTTATTTTTACTATTTTTTTGTAATTATTTTTTAATTTTAACAAATTTCTATTATTATCTGTTGATATTTTTGTTACATCAGTTGATTTTATTTCAAGTTTAAAGATAGGAAATATTACTTTATCCATAACATCTTTTTCGCTATAATTAGTAACATATATTTTTGACTGTAGTTTTCTCAGGTTATTTTTCCACTTTTATGTATTAATTATTTAATTTAGTGTTTGTGTTCATTAACAATAGTGACAGAGAAAGCCGATGAGCAATCCTATGAAGTGTCTTTCAATCAACTTTCAGTAATTGTTAAACAAGATTTAAATGATTTAAATAGGAAGATTGGTCAATTGCAGCGGGTTGGTTGGTTGTTCAAGTCATTTTAACTATTCTTGTTACATTTTCACTTAATTGTTTGGAATCTTTTTTTGTTTGGTTTGATTATAAAAGAATCTTTTAAGTTTTATTATTAGTTGAAGATGCAATCATGAATATTTTTTTATTTACTAAATCTGAAATTGTAATGTTTCTAATTTTGTTCGCTTAATATTCCCACAGTATTTGAAACACAATGTGAATATGAATAAACAGAGGTCCACACATTCCAATTCCATTATTGTTACTCTACAGGTGACTTAAAAAATAATTTTGTTTAATAATTTAACTTGAAATAAATAAATGTTTAAAATAACTATTTGTTATGTAATTATTAATCATTAACAGGTTGTATCATTTTTAATGTTTTCAACTATTTTTTGCATTCTCTTGTTGTTGTTTCTGTATGTGTGTATATTTATATTATTCATTTTTTTATTTATTTTCTTATCTATGCATTTCATTTTGTTTTTTGTATTTAAATTTTAAAAGTCTTCTTGGTCTAAACATTAAATTTTAGTCAAAGCTAGTCCAAATGTCTGCTCACTTTAAAATGTTGCTCGAAGTCAAACAACAGGCTAGTCTATTGCTTATCATATGTGTTTTTGCTACTACATATATGCTCTTATGTGGACCATATTTCTGAAGATTTGTAATAGACTCAGATACAAACATATTTATCCACACAAAACTTATCAGTAAATATGTAACTCGTCATTCTTAAATCGTTTATTGAATTTGGTACAAAACTCATCAATATAGATTTGTACAATACAATTAAAATAATTTTTATAATGTATAAAATATTTGCTCACAGAAAATGAATAAATCTGATCCAGGTTACTCTAAATTTCTTGCATGTGTTATTTTTAAAATTTTATTTATAAACCTTTCACCATTCTGCTTGATTCTGGTAGATTTGTTTTAAGTGGAGTTTGTTTAGATGCATTGAAATTAATTGTTTAAAATCTTTGTTGATTAATCAGGCATAAGCATTAATTGAACATGGAACCACCTGTTCAGTGTGTTAATAACTAACTGGCTGTGTCCTGTTATGCATTTTTTGTAATTACACAAAATCGAGGTTGTCAACGATAAATTTGTCAGCAGCGCTAATTTTACATTTGATTATTTTTTAAATGTCTTCTTATTTTAAATTAGTTTTATTATTTCAATTATCATTAATCAGTCTCCAAAACAAGTGTTGGCAGAGGTCACCAAGAAGGCCATAACAATTACATTGCAAGTAACGAAAGTCCAAGAAGTAAAATTCTATCACAACAGCACAGTCATCCAAACGACTTCAACCAACATCTGCAACGTAATAAACAACTTCAGCAACATCATTCACAGCAACACAATCAACAGTTCCATGTGCAGACTTCTTTATTGAGTTCCAGACAAACAAATATGTATAAAAAATATGATCACTATGATGAGAATGTGCAGCAGAAAAGTTTTCAGGACAGTTGGTATTCCCAGCAACAGCCTGAACACTCTCAACATCACAAGCAACAGCAACAAATACTGAGACAACGATTTGTGCAAGAAGAGAAGCCAGATGAGATGGTGAACATTGAACAGACAATTGTGGAACTTGGAGGAATATTTCATCAGTTGGCTACAATGGTTCATGAACAAGGGGAAATGGTCTGCAGGTTTGAAAATATGATGAAACGATGGCTATATTTTTTTTTTTTTTGAAAACGATATTAGTTTCATCTTAACTTTATAATTGTTCGAGTTCGTCATCGTTTTACTTCAAAAACAGAATAGATTCTCATGTAGACGAATCACAGTTGAATGTAGAAGTGGCTCACACTGAACTTTTGAAGTACTTGCGTGGTGTGACAGCAACCAGAGGCTTCCTCATCAAAGTTTTTATTGTCCTCATTTTTTTCGTTGTTTTCCTTCTTTATTTTTATGGATGATGGTAGATGATTACTAGTTTACGTTTATTGAGATTAGACCCAATACCGGATAAGTTGATTAAATTATGTCATTTGATTAAAGTTTATTAAGGTAAATGTTTGCGCCATGTCGTTGCAGATGTAAATAAATACATTTTCTTTTAACAATAAAAATATTTCATTTATGATTTCTATCGTTTATTTGCCCAATTTGATTTATTTTTTACGTGTTCATTCATTTTTTTGAACACACTTTGTTAACAGTTTTCAATTATACACTGCGTAATTGTGATGTAGTTAGTATTTTCTTGTTATAACAAAAAAAGTGAACATCTTCGGATATGAAGCTACCGTACATCAAGCACACAAGTTTTGATGCGGTTTTTATATTTTACTGCTGAATGTCGTTTCTTGAGTACGGGGGTAAAAATAATCTCGCCTACCCCTCGAATGCCTCGGTCCTCGTCACATCTTCTAAACTGACATGTAAATTTAACGACGTTTCAAAAATGTTTTGACTGCATGGATGTCTAGTTGAGGACTTACTCGAATTTGCTATAATTAAACGGTAATAAAACATTAGACAACGGTACGGCCAAACTTATCCGTTTAAAAATTTAAGCAGATTTCTCCAAAACAACTGCAACAAAGCTGATTAAATTTAGCGTCGGTGCGTTTTACCATCATTCTGCAAAAGTAATGATTATGTTGGTATAATGGAAGAATTATTGTTTTTTCTACATTTATCATTCAACGTTCAAAATATCCGTTCTTAACCATTGTTCAAAGAAATCAAATAGTACCAATTGTCTAACATATATGAAGTCTAAAGAGATGATGAAACTCACAGATACTAATACGATGATAATAATAATAATACAGATAATAATATGATGCAAAAGTTGAACTTTTTTTCAGTATGTTTTAAAACATAAAAATAAAGTAATTATACTAAGATAAACAATCACATTAACTGATTTTTAAAGTATTTTCTATTTAGTATTGATAATAAGATGAAATATTTTTTTGTGAGTCGGAACCCGAAATCAGAGTTGAAAGTCGGAATTTTTTGAGTTCAAAAAATTTTGGTTTTAAACTCGAGAACTTGAGAATGATGTACGATCAACCGTTAGAAAAACCGAAAAGTTAAACAGTAAGTTTACGAACGCCGAATATGCTGTGATTTTCATCAATAATTGCATTTCTGACAGTTTAATCCCATATATATATATATATATATATATATATATATATATATATATATATATATATATAAATCCTCGTTTAGTCTCCATCCGTTATGGGTCGGACTTTTTTATTCCATTCATCAGTTTCTGTCCCCAAGCCGATCTATCCATTCCATCTGTCTCCTTTTGAGACCAAGTGCCCTCCTGTATGGTCTGCGTCCTGGACTTTTTTTGGCGACCTCTTGGGCGGGTGCCAGGCACCTGGTGCTCAGTTGCTCAGTAACGGAAATTATTGTATCGCTTCGCTTCACATGGCCAAACCATCGTAGGCGATGACAACGACATGCATCCTTCAACATGCACGGCCCCGATCGGTTCAACATGCTGCATCCAACGAATTATCTTCATATCAGTTCGGTGAAGCTGCTGTTCGAGTTTTGTTATCATCGGCAACGTGTCTGCACCATACATCGGAACAGAACGTATAGCTCTGAGCGCAGCGGTAGAGGAATGGTACGCCGCATCAGTACCAAGGCAAGGAGGTGCCATCTGCCGCACGTATACGTCCACGAATGGGGGCATCAGCTGTTTCAGTACAATCCAGCATATCTCCCAAATAATGAAATGAAGTAACAGTTTCAATCCCGGTAATCGTATCATTATCTGGGCTCCGTTATCGCGGTTGATGCAGGTGGGGCATACGAAATCAGTCACTTTCATCAGTGAGCCGGTAATTCTCGAGCATCGTGGCTGTGATCCCATATATATATATATATATATATATATATATATATATATATATATATATATATATTATATAGCATATGTACCTTTTAACAAAGTTGACTAATTGTAGAAACAGTTTAAATCAACATCTGAAAATTTAACTTTTCAATTTAAAATTTTGTTGTTAATAAGTTATAGTATTACAGCAGTGAATTTTTAGAGAAAAAAAATTTAATAACACAAAATAATAAAAAGAAAAACGATCCTATCGTGAATATCTCAATTCAACAGACTTGTAAGTTTGCAGTCAAAATTTGAGTTTCTGTAATTAATTTTCGCGAAATAAAATACACCAAAAAGTTTTTTTAGATCAATAGTAATTTCATCCAACATTGCAATATGCTGCAAGCTAACACGAAAACAAGTAACGGTTTGGAACTTGAAAGTTTAAAAAACAATTGAATACAAAATTTAAGAAATACTGTAAATTAAATAGTAACCACAATACACTCTAAAACTATACACAGACATGTATATATATATATACAAAAAATATATATATATATGTACAATATATATATATAAATATATATATATTGTACATTATATGATAAATGCAAATACTATCTGAACAATCTTTTAATTGGCAACCTTGCAACCAAATATTTTTACGTGGTTCCATCGAACTAGCATTGTACATAGATAAAACTGCAATTTTTGCTTTCTCTTAAATACATATCCTGTCCGTTCAAAACATATCCGGTTCTTTTCAGTTATCTCGAGTTTTTTTAATTTGTACTACACGCTGTACTTCCTCCGTCGTCTCCTGATGAGATTTTAAAGTTTTAGATGGAAAATAACGAAAGTACATTTAACAAAACCAAAACTGCGGATATGAAACCTGCTTAACATAACTTATCACCGGTTTACTACAATATCAATGTAAGTCTTCTCTAACAAGTTCTTGAATAATAATGTACGGATTAGAAAACCAATGAAACAGAAGCAGAAACATTGCAGCAAAATATGACATATGTAATTGAAATAATGACAAATGTAACGTGACGACTAGGACAATTTTGCTTTCAAATCAACAAATCATACTTTCTACAAATATTAGCATTGTTAAAATTTGTTTATATGTGGGGATCACATTCACAATTACATGTTTCAAATCCTGCTAGAAAGGAACATAACAACATAAACTGAAATAAATGAAAATATCTACTAGATTAACAAAGTACATAAAAACTGACTAAACAAAATTAATTTAAGAAAAGTAAAAATTCAACAACAAATGAAGATATACCACACATAAATAAAGTATAATAAGTAAAAGGGGTTAAAATATGAAACTTCAAATGTTTATTGTAGCATTGTCAAAACAGACTCGCAATAAACAAAAATTATTGAAACTTAAATTTTCATAATATATACTGAAAAATAAATTGCGTTTGTCTGCAATCAAGTTAATAGTATTCAAACCCTGTCATAGCAATAACAAACAAATACGATGGTGGAATACATTGAGAGTGGTCATTTCTGACTAAGTTTGCCTAAATATTAATTTTGCATCTTCGCTTGGCAGTTTCGTAAACTTGTCATAGATATTATCATAGATCAAACGTTGTATCTTCACCACATTGTCAACATGACACTATCAGCAGCATCATACAAATCTGATGGGTGATTGAAATGATGTCAATGACGACGCCGATCCTAAATGAGTTGTAGGTGATGAAGAGATGACGATTGGAGAGGAGGAAGGTGAAGGGTCATGATATTCGCCATCCAAATATATTCTGTTGGGTGCGTGTTTCATTTACCTTCACTTAATAATTACCGGATTGCAATTGTCAACAACCAAACAAAGTTTGTAACTTATTTGAATATTTAAAAATAATTCTTATTTTAAATTAAGGATCCTTTTTTGAGAAACAAAAATATTGATGCTCCATTTGCATGCAGGTAGCGCAACAATCAGCCATAAATAAAACATTTAAAAAACACCATCAGTTGAAATTCATAACAAACTTAAGATATTTTACTAATTTGAAATTAAATATCACATATCATTATACTAATTTGAAATTAAATGAATTCACACAATGTAAGAGAGTAAAGATTAAAAGATTTGGAAAGAAAATCTCCAGTAAACAATAAATTAACAAAACCTGACAAAGAACAACTGCTTGAGAGATTCTTTTTCAGGAGGAAAATGTTGGAAGGTGCACTCTGGTCCTAAAATGGGAACTCTAAAATCTCTCATGAGCATCATGCTTGAAGTCTCTATCATCGCCAAACTAGCTCCTTATAGGGTGACATGAAATCAATGATAATTATGCATTTAAATAATCACTTCTTTTGACATAAACCAATGAAAATTAGAACATGTACTAAAATTCTGCTTAAATTAAACCTGTAGAATCAACCGTTGAAATATCAATACAAACGTTACCTAGGATCACAATTGAAATATTGTTGACATGGTTATCTCATAAAGAGTAGTAGCGAATGTAGAGGGGGAACCCCGTTGTGAGAACATTGTTATTAAAAATCAATAAAACTGAGTTTTTAACCCAGGAAAAACACCATTTTCAGTAAAATATCGATCGACCAAAAATTGACGTGATAAGCAAACAGAAATATTGCCAAATTAATTTTAGCCAAACAACCACAAGTTTGGTTAGTTTCTTGGCCCCCCCCCATCAAATTTCAAAATTAAACATTTTAAAATTTTGGCAACCACCGTCAATGTTGTCTAGATCAGTCCCTGTATAAGTGAAAGCGTTTCAAATAGGTAGGATAACCCGCTATCATATTCTGTTAACATTCTCTGACAAACGTTCAACTTTTTAGGCAAATTTTTTTCTATTATGAACTTTTTTTAAATATCGAAAAATACTTTAAAAATCGATCCAAAAGTTACAACCGTAACTTCATGTTAAGCCCGCTATCATATTTTGTTAACAAAACTTTTTTTGCAAATGCTTTTTTAAATTATAAAAATGTTTTTTTTAGCAAAATATCCAAAAATATTTTAAAATTGCAGTATTGTGTTTAAAAGTCAGTAAAACGCAGTTTTTAAACAAAAGAAAAACACCATTTTATGTCGAAAATTGAATCGAACAAAGATAAAGAGAAAAAGGTTGCCAGACTAATTTTAGCTACACTACCATAAATTTAGTTTGCTACATTTCAAAATTTTGGCCCCCCTCCCAGTTAAAATTGTTTTGAGACTGCTGAATGGCCAAAAATTAAAAATTTAAACTGACCACTTGAAATGAGCCATTGATTGATCCTCTCAACAAGAAGCTTGACCGACTCAAAGTTCCTCTGACCTTTCAAATCAGTGATAATAGGAAAGAAAGTTTTGCAAGAAATTCTCATTGGCAAGATGTTTGAAGGTTCAACTTTTTCCTTAGAGATCAAATAGAAAACCCTGATAATACTGAGATACGGTGCTTGGTTTGAATTCCGTTGGGTGAATTTACACCTGTCCTCAAAATGAGGAGCTGAATTTGGTGAAGAAATTATTTTATAAAATGCTTTCAAAAAATATAACAACCATTAATTTTTCTTACAATTTTTCATTTTCATGGAGACACATTGAATATTGCATGGCTTTATAAGCTGTTGTTGAGCTAACCACCTGTAATAATTATAAAACGATCAACCAACATCATCATAACAATAATTCACTTTATTAATAATAAAATGATTAGTTGATGTTTTTACGACAAAGGCATATAATGAATATGTTCAGAACAGAAGTTATTCAATCAAAAACATTCGTTTAAAGTCTCAAATCAATCTGTTTACATAGCTGGTGCAGATCAATCAACATATATAAATCACTCATAAATAAATCAGCAATTATATATATATATATATACATATATATATATATATATATATATATATATATATATATATATATATATATATATATATATATAAATCATATTAATTCAAAGTAATATGATGAAAAAAAACTAACAAACTAACCAGCTCCTTTATCACTAAGCTAGATAAAAATAATGGAAATATACTAAAAATGATAGTAAGGAGCTTTAATGGATGGAAACAAGGTACAACAATCATGACTGACAAAATTGATATGAAATATTGATTGTTCATTCCAGCACAAGCTGACTCAAAAATGATCCTCTCGCATAATAACTGATGAATGTTTTACCCGGTTTTGTTATTCAAGAGGAACATAGAGAACAACGTTTTTTTAAAAAACATTTAAATTAGAAATAAAATATTTTATTTCAGATAACTAAGATAAGAACTGAAGGTGAACCAAAAAACAAATTAAACACACTACAAATTTTAAAGTGCCAACATGCCTGGAAGTTTTGTCAATGAGATCACTGAACACTTCAAAACCTCCATTTTCACGACTCTTTCGCAAACACTCTGGAACAAAGTCTTGATATCCTGTAATCAAAGATAGCAATAACATTAATCTAGTTGAGTAATAAAATTTGCTGAAAAAACTGATGTAGTATGAAATTTAATGAGTAAGTTTCAGTGAAAAGGCCATAGCAAAACGGTGTCATTAGCAATGAAATTGTTATCTTAGTAATTTCAATGTACCTAACTAACCGATAACGTCTTTGTTTGAATCCTCAGAGAGACTGGAATAAACACGCACGCACCACACAAACATGACATCTTCCATTGCTCTCTCTTCCCAATGTGTTGCTTCAACACTCACCAATCCATCTTTTACCATCAATTTCACCATCTCAACTTTCATTATAGAGCCTAAAAAAAAGTTTATGAAAATAACCTGAAGCAAAAAAAACAACTCTACTCATATTAATAAAATTCTTGCCTCAAAATGTATCATGCAAAATTGAATTAATGAAATTATAGAAAATTTTTCCATTAAACTAACAAAATGTGAACCAACAATAATTGAATCACCTGCTGGTCAAACACATGACACCATTCCTGAGGCTCACTCAACATCAAAAATTAAATTCTCATAAAAATATCAAAATATGAATATTCCTGTCATAAGATAGCTGTAACAAATGAAAACAACCAAAAAACAACAAGTTAAATTGTTACAAGATTGATTGATGATTGCTTGATTGACTCTATCAATCAACTGGCCAAATGTTTCTTTGATCCTTGGAAGAAACGTTTCACATTGAATTGTTTGTAGCTTCAACACTGCTATATTTGGCTTGGGAATTTTATCAGTGAGGAACCAAAGTCTGTTTTGAAATGGATGAGTTTATAGATAACTACATTCATTAAAAACATTAAAATATTAAATCAAGTCATAAATAATAAAAAATGCATCTAATGTGAACAATTCCACAGAACCTGATCCCCCTCAGATAAATTGCTTTTGAAAACATTTCAGTAAGTTTAGAGCAGACGACAACATCAGAGTAGATGTCTTTGTACTGGTTGGCAAACCAGGTTATTGTTTCACATGACAGCACCTGTAAGCCTGGATGTTCTTCCAACCATGAATTGACTCTGTTTACCAAATCTCTGTGAAATTCAAACAAGCTATGTTATAAACAGAACAAGATATTTTATGTCTGGTCTCAACATAAAAGGTTTAATGCATTCATTATTAAATAACTGTTATACAAATGAAATGTCCTGACTAAAAAACGATTTTAGACCACTACCACTTTAGAAATTAAAAAATTGTAAAAACAGATTTCAAAAAATTCAATTTGTAGCTAG